ATTGCCTTAGTGTTAGTTGATTCAAGATTTGAGTAGGTACCGACAGAATACCCCCTCGTGTGGACTGGCGGGTCATTACGTGGAATAGTTATTGACTAGAGAATTAATTTATCATATCTCTTCAACCAATAAAGTAAACGCGAAAACTTTACTACCGTACGTACTCTAAATTTGACGATCAACCACAAAATTCCCTAAACCAAAACATAATCCAAAAAATAATCAAGTCACTTGTCAATTCACGAGTTTGCTCAGAGAGCACTTTGATTAGGTCATAGATAAGGTTTACGGTGAACTTTTAATCAAAACAAGAAAAATTGAAGCTGGGAATGATGACGAAGAAATGACCGTTTTATGTTTACTCGGGAAGTTTGTGCAGAAAGCGAGGGACTTCTTTTCTATCCCCGGTAGTCAAATCTAGTTTTTTGAAAAGAGAAGGCGTTTTTAACTTGGCTGCTAGATCGCTATACACACTGTAGCGTAACAAGTAATGGAAAATTACGGCTTGGACTTAAATACTCTCTGCGATAGGCTCTAGATACTAGAAATAGTCCCTCTCGGGATCGTCTATGATATTAGTAATATAAATACATTCATTTGCATTTGGTATCGATCACCATTTTGGGTGGATATAAATTTATTTGAGGTTTGGCGAGAAAGTCGAGATATTTTTTAATGTGAAAGGTTTGTTCAATTACAATTCGGTCATATTACGTTGCTTATCGGATACCTTTTAAATGCGCCTGCCGTCTAACTTTAGCAGAAACCTTTTTGTTACCGACTTAATGCGCACAGAATCTTTACTGCAGTGAACCTCGGTCAAAGTTAAAGATCTTCTTTGAACCTCCACTTAAAGAGGAACAAATTACCAAAGATGTGAAGGGTGGATTGTTGAAGCGAATAATGTTTGAAAAATCAACAAAAAAGGCACTTTACCCTATGGTTTCTAGCGAGTGCAGGATCGATTTGTGGTAATTTATGAAAATAGATACAAAAAAAAAACCCTTAAACGGACATCTCTCTTGCAAAGCCAAGTCAAGCTGCACAAGATCAAGCGATATTTTCTGCACGGGAACTTGAAGAGTATTCTAGTATTAAAGGTGTTCGGGAAATTTCCACACACAATTTCCCCCTCAGGGGAGAGTTAATATCCCCTCTACCCACTCGTTTTCCGCCCGCTATGCTTAAGTTTAGCACAAAAATCCTGCGGAGAAGTGGAAACGGAGAGCCTTAAAGCCACGATTTCACCGTGCCTTATCATTGATAATTGAATGACGGCTTTTATTAGGGGTGAGTGTTAATAGTTTTTCGGTTAAAGTAAGGCTACATTTCAGTCTGAGTTGATAATTTGGGCTGTCTTGAGTCTACCGGCACGTTTCCGTCCATAAGTAATTTACAGCTGACTCGACAATCTTGGAATTTGATTCGCTAAGTAAATTTGAGTGTAAATTCCAAATCAGAGAATGGGGGCTGATATTTAGACGGCTTTCCTTTGTGGCCGATCTTTCGATCAGTTTCCTTATCAGCACAATTTTTTGCCTAATTTTGAAGAAATATCCTTCATCTTCATAAACTTTTTCAATTTTAGATGTTTATATTTTCAACTGCCTTGGTAAGTGAGTTTGATACTTAAATCAAACGGTACCTCAATTAGATCAGAACAATAAATAAAGAAAAATAGACCCATTCAACTTTTGGGTGCTCTACCGATTTTTAAGTACAAAATATGCATTTTAAAATTAAAGCCACAATTTTACATTTCTCTCGTTTGAAATCTTCACTTTACTTTAGAAGGTACAGATATATCTTCATTTTACCTACATGTACGAGAGGCGATTACTGTAGCAGAATACTACCATGGAATCTTTAATTCACCGTAGTACAAGAAAATTATATCGCAAAAAATCATGTTTTTGTCCGTACTACTAAAATAATAATAATAATAATAACAATAAACAGCATTTATAAAGCGCCTATCCAGTCGTGCTCTAGGTGCTTCACAATACATAAAAACGTATAGGTAAAATGCATAGACAAATATACATACATATATGTACAAATACATATGTATGAATCAATAGCAGTAATTAAAAATGATTACAGTCCTTGGAATTAAAGGCTTCCTTGAATAAATATGTTTTAAGTTTAGATTTAAAAGAATTCAAATTATCACAAAAACGTATATGGGCGGGAAAACTGTTTCAAAGTTGACGTGCAGAGACAGCAAAGGCTCTAAGTTATGGTTGACAACGTTTAGACACATTGAAGTAGATGATCGTAGATTTCGTGACGGAAAGTAGCGGGTCAGTATCAGATCTTGAATGTACGTGAGGGACTGTTTGCGTATAGCCTTGAAAGTGAGAAGCAACATTTTTCGAATTTTATGCACTCAGCGATTGGTAGCCAGTGTAGTTCAAAGAAGATGGGAGTTACGTGATTGTACTTGGAAGAACTTAGGAACATTATACAGAGAAGAGTTAGAGTGATCGAGCTTAGACGACACAAAAGCATGGATGAGTAACTCAGTGGTCTCAGAGATAGAAATTTCCTAATGCGAGATATGTTACTTTGCAAAACAAAGGGATGGTGAATAATTCTGCGGCATGTGTTTCGAGTGAAGGAAGAGAAGTTCGGTTTTATCTTTGTTAAGTTTTAATTTATTGACGCACATCCATTTATCCAAATCATTAAGGCACAATTCAATGCTAGTGATGGTTTCGGTCAGCTCCAAGTTGTTGTTGGTGGAAAAGGAAACGTAAAGCTGAGTATCATCAGCGTAGGAGTGGAATTGCACTTTATGATGTCTCAAAATATCGGCTAGTGGTGCAGTATACATTAAGTAAAGAACTGGTCCAAGAACCTAGCCCTGTGGTACCCCACACTGAGTATACAAGTCTTCGATTTCTCTCTGTTGATCAAAACAGATTGGGTATGATTAGATAAATAGGACTGAAACCAGTTAAGGGCAGTTCCACTGATTGCAAATTTGAAATTTAGTCTTTTAAGCAGAGATACATGTTCGACAGTGTCGAAGGCGGCGGACAAATCAAGAAGCAGGAGTATAACGCGCCGCCAATTATGTCGATTATCAATAGCACGTAGAATATCGTTGTGAACACGCACAAGGAGCGGTTTCACAGCTGTGGAGAGGCTTATAAGCAGATTGTAGCGGTTCGTGAAGTTGGTTAGATAGCATGTAATCCTGAAGACGAACAGCCACAACTTTTTCAATGATTTTGGAGACAACTTGAAGATTTTGAGATAGGTCTAAAATTACTGAGGACCTCATGATCCAAAGAGGGTTTTTTGGGTAATGGTGTAAGGACAGCAGTTTTAAGAGAGGAGGGCAGATAGCCAGATTCTAGGGACAAATTCACAATCTTGCAGAAGATTGGTAGAAACATCTCGAAGTGAGCCGTAAGCAGAACAGCAACTGAGGAATGGATCTAATATACATTATTTTGAAACAACTGTACGAGCGATGTTAGACAGTTCATCAGTAGGTGTTGGAGAAAAGGTATTTAGTTGACAATCCAGTGAAGGTGTGTCAAAGGCACGGAAGAGTTCTGGGGTTTCGTGTGCCTTGATTTGAGTTCTAATCTTGATGATCTTGTTATCGAAAAACTCTGCAAAAACGTTTGCTAATTCCGTCGCTAAAGAGCATGACGGGAGAAGTTTCTCAGGCTTTTTAGGCAAAAGGCGGTGGACAGTACGAAAAAGGATTTTGTTATCATTACCAGCTTCGACGATAAGATTAGAGTAATAATTCATTTTTGAATTGTGGAAGTGTTTTTCAAAACGATGCACTAATTGATACATGATATAAGCTTGATAATCAGCTTTAGCATGAGAGTGACGCCAGCGTCTTTCAAGTTTACGGAAAATTCATAGATTTAGATAAAACAGATGTAGCCATAAGTGTGCTACGTACACATGCACTGTTTACAAACATAGCCATACCTGCTCAAACTTGCCTAAAGCTCATAGTTTCCAATAGTTTTCAAATCATTCCCCGTGCGATTGAAGACAGACTTCGAAGAGATCATCTGTTTTCTCCGTATTTGCTAGTGGAGTAGTAAAAAATTGGTGCCATGATCAGAGGTGCCCAGTTGCTTGAAAGCTTTAAATGTCTCCTCTCTCTCTCTAGTTGTCTTTTTACTATCACGATTGCCTCCCATACAAAAAGTTCTCAGAGGACTAAGCGCAAAAACTCGAAAGACAGTGAGCGGCTGTTCGTTCCGCCATTCCATAACTTCACCAATTTAAAAGGACACCCTACGATGATCAATGTATATTTGGGGATTTTTACACATGTAAATATATACTTACAGCTACACATCACTGAGAGTTTTCTTAATATTCAGTTAAAAATATTGGTCCACGAATGAACTTCTTCTTGGACCTTTACTGAAAGTCAACGCATTTTACTACGCCAAGGAATGGTAACTAGCTAGCAGGAAAAGCATCACGGGTTAATAATTCGGCCGCCATTTTGGCTTCTTGAGAATGGTAGACGTTGCAACTATTTTGTAGTGTGTAAAACCCACTCTCAATCTCCATATACTCACAAAGTTGCAACATGGATGTGGAAGAATCAAGAACCCAAGGTCAAAAAAAGCAAAACAACGTTCTTCCTCTGTGGGGAAACGAAAAAACCATGAATCTAAACAGCATGATTCTAACAAATGTGCTGTCGTCGCCGTACTTCAAGAACGAACTTTTCCAGCTGAAAACCTATCACGAGGTGGTTGATGAAATTTACTACAAGGTAAGAACGGAGAAAGGTCGACGGAGAATTGAAGGACACAATTACAACCGTGGACTCGTCACTCCTGACACGTAAGAATTTAGCGGAAGCTATGAGCTACAGTACATAATCTTACTGTATTTTTTAGAATTGCCGCTTTGAATACTTCTGTACTCTACCTGTAGTTTCTTGCCTTATTCATAGGGAAATTTCACCCACTGAATCTTCCTAAAAGTGATATAGTTTCGCATGGCTTTTGACATTTGTTTTGGGATCTCTCTAATTCAGGTGCTTTGCTTTTTTCGTCTCAGACAGGCATACCTGTCTACTGTTTTGTGGGTTAGTGTGAGTCGTTGTAGCATTGATTGATATTGTTCAACACACTGAAGAAGAAAAGTACCTTTCATATTTAAAGAGCCCCAAGTAAATCAGAAATCTGCATCTGTGATGCAAACCCTAAAACCAGAACTACTTTCATTGTACCAAGTCTGCATATGTGGCATACATGTAGGTCGATGCTAGTTTTTACCAGTTGTTCTTTCCTGGCAAAAAAAAATTCAAATGTGGAGTTAATTTCATTTGAGTCTATGTTTGTGAAAACTGTTGTCAATTACCCCCTTTGTGAACTATTTAGAGACCAGCAAAAGTGACCAGAGAAGACTATAGGCCCTTTGCAGCTAGAGGTCACGTGCTTGGATACTGCATAGCAACACAAAACTGGAGAGCAAGCTCTCCAGTAAACAAACTCTCGTAAGAGGTCAAGCATGTCTGACTTTAGACAATAGTTTTCTGTTCATTACGCTCAATGCTTTTGCAATATCTACAAAAACTGTAAGATATTTACTAAATCTCTTGTTTGGACTCGATTTTTGGATGGAAAGCACGATATTTTTCTCAAAATCGTGAAAAACTGTCACTAACAACCCGCTTGATGGCTAAGAAACATGGCAGCTTCGAAAGGTATGTACTTAAAAAAAAATCTACTTTTTTCTGCTTTTTTTTAGTTATTGGACTTCTAAAGTCTATGAAAATAAAGTATTAGATTGAAAATAGCAATCGAGTGGAATTTTATGGCATTTTATGCCCGATTTCTTACAATATTAGGAGGGTAATTATATGTCTTACATTGAGACTAAACACATGCTAAAATTCATTGTAGATTTTGAAACTACCAACAAGCCAACAGACCCGAAGAAGAAATCTTCGTACCATTGTTGTGTTCTCTTGTGTAATGGGGATTCTAGATATCATCTTGAATTAAAGTTCCACCGCTTACCTGGCCATGCAAAGGATGACCAAATGCCTTTGGCTAGGTTGTAGTCTAGACAGAAAAGTTTATGATCTTGATGTAGTAAATAATGGTCAGAATCCATTTGGCTTATTAGAAATAAAAGTTATAAAAGAAGGTGAAACTTCATTTGACAATGTCAGATATCTAACTAAGGACCAGAACACTAACCAGTACAAACTGAAGACAACAGACAGTTATTACTACCAGATTCAGTGCCAGCTTGGACTCACAGGATTGGAATGGTGTGATTTTTTTTTTAGTTACATTGATGACAATTTCTTTTTTGCTCTAGAATTAATTTTGATCCAGTGTTCTTCCAGGAAGCAAAGGACAAAGTGCATAGTTTTTTCTTTAATTACTTTTTACATCAAGACTGTGTTCACATTATATGGCAGAGGGAATAGGGCAGCTTAATTAAATTTTAATTGACAACAAATTAGCTGATCATCATTTATCATCTTCAAAGATTAAAACCCCTACACCAAGAAAGGCTAAAAACTTTGCAAATCCCAATTTTAATATAAAAATGTTCCTGTTTCCCTGTGGATTTTCTTTACATATTTTTGATTGCATTGATTTTTACTGCACCCTCCCATCATACATGATGAATATTGACTTCTCAAACAAAACACAGGTTGCTCTATATGTTATACTTCCCAGGTATTCCAATTTATTATATCCATTTTGAAATCACCATCAAATCCTGTAATTTGATTGGTTCAAATTTGTATGATTCGAGTACGAATTCCACTATTTTCTGTGTGAATCGCATCTATTTGTTAGCAAAACAAAATTCAACATTACATTTAGACGACCAATCATATTGCAGGATTGTATACAGTTTGCCAATCAGATTAGAGCAAATAATGTACACAAAATGAAATATTTTTCAAATTTGATTTCCTATGTTTGAAATTGCTATTACTCTCTATAGTGAACAAAGTGGAGCTTCATTTACATAAATCCAGAAAATGTTCAGCATCAATCAATTTCAGTCTGATATCAAACTTTTGATTTCATATCACATTCCCACTACATCATCATGTGATTTTGTTCACTTGAGTTTGATATCAGATCAAGTTGCACTCCACCCAGTTCAATGACCACTATTTTTTTGTTTAGGTAAAGTATAAGCATTCCCAATAAAATATAAGTAGCACAATAACTTCACTCTGGCTCATTGTTACTATTAGATAAGATTAGTGGGCCCTGGAAATTTGTAAGGAGACGGGCTATAGTCTATGACTGATTGACTGAACCCAATGTAGACAGTGGCACATCAGAATCAAAAAAGTGGTATCCTTTGACCCTCCTTGTTGCTCTTTCAATATGTATTCTCAAACTTGCTATTGTCTTTGTTTTCTGAACATCCTGGGCAGAGAATTGTTCCAGACTTTCTAGAAACAGAGGGATATTTAGTTCCACCCCCTTCTCCCTCAGCAAATCTTCAATGTCAAAGCCTTTGTGGGCCATGACCAAGTCCCCAGGCTCTAACAAATCTAGAATTCCAGTGCACCTTATGATTCCCTCATCACTTATCCCTCCAGTTTAGAGGCTAGAAACAAAACTAATAACTCCATAAGGGGTAATACCTATTAAACCTTGTAGTGTAGTATTACTTTTATAAGTAGAATAAAGCTGTGACTGAAGTAGCAGTGAGGTAGGTGTTTACACAAAAATCTCAGTATAATCTAATACAACATGCCTGCTTGCATAAAACCTTTTGAAACCTTCTGGCAGATAGTTATTGCCATCTTCCCTTGATGGCTAGATTACTTGACTCCCAAGAAAAAAATTAGAAAAATTAGTCCATGTGATCACTTTTCTGCAAACTGATGATTTGTGTATCTGAAACCTATGTGCTAATTCCTGCTCAAATAAACCAAGCTTGAGTCGCACACAAAACATAAACAACTCACCTACAAGAAGCACATTTCTTGAACCTGGTCTACTAACTCTTTCATTGGAAGCATAACAATATGTCATTTGTGCAGTAAAAGGCTGCAGCAAATCAAAACAAAATTTACAGACTGGTTTTAAATAATTGTTGCATTCTCAAGTACACCATCTCATCATTCAAATAAAAAAGAAATGCTTCGGAATAGAAATATGGAATGATTTATTTATTACTTGTCTACATGTCGAATAATCTTTCTTTTCGATTTAGATTTGGTTGACCAGTTGAACTTTGATGGTACCGCTTCTCTTTTCAGCAACTGATGTCCAGACTCAGTGGGAGGATTGTAATTTTTCCCAGTGATGTGTCTTAAGCACACTCTGGTACTACTAGTCAGCTGTTGAAATAAATCAAATGTCCTCATAAAAATTTAACTTTTTCATTACAGTGTACTTAAGATCTACAGAGAGCTTTTCATTCGACTTGTGTTATGATCTTTTCAATAAACTACTATATACTTTGAAGTCCAGGCCTACTTCTCTTCAGATCTTCAGCCATTCCTTTTTCAGTTGTTCATCCTTTGCTCGGCCAGGTAAGGGGTGGAACTTTAATTGAGGATGATATCTAGAATCCCCGTTACACAAGAGAACACAACAATGGTACGAAGATTTCTTCTTTGGGTCTGATGACTCGTCGGTAGTTTTGACATCTACAGTGAATGTTAGCATGCGTTTAGTCTCAATGTAAGACACATAATTACTCTCATAATATCATAAGAAATTAGGCATAAGATGCCATAAAATTCCACTGGGTTTCTATTTTCGATCTAATATTTTATTTTCATAGACTTTAGAAGTCCAATCACTAAAAAAAAGCGGAAACAAGTTTATTTTTTTAAGTACATAACTTGCGAAGCCACCATGTTTCTTAGCTGTCGAGCGGGTTGTTGGTGACAGTTTTTTCATGATTTCGACAAAAATATCGTGCTTTCCTTCCAAAAATCAAGTCCAAACAAGAGATTTAGTAAATATCTTATAGTTTTTGTAGACATTGCAAAAGGATTTAGCGTAATGAACAGAAAACTATTGTCTAAAGCCAGATATGCTTGACCTCTTACAAGAGTTTGTTTACTGGAGCGCTTGCTCTCCAGTTTTGTGTTGCTATGCAGTATCCAAGCATGTGACCTCTAGCTGCAAAGGGCCTATTGTTACCTTCTCTTGTCAGCCAATTTTGACAATTACAGTGTACATGCGAACAGCATTGTGTGGATCTGCTGTTGCTACAAGGTTGACTTTGAGTCACTGGTATGAGTGAGTGAGCGAGTGAATACTTTATTAATGTGTCAAGAGATTTAGTTACCAAGCTAATTGGGGACACACAAAAAAAGTTTCCTATCTACAATATTTTTAAATGATATTCATATAAATATATACAATAAAATATAAAATCGGAGATAAACAGAAAATCATACACAGCAAAATGTATCAATCACATGCATATAAAATTTAGTTAATAAGAAGCTATTATGTAATACAGGCATTTAATAAATATATCTTATTAACCAAGCGCGAGGGCCGTACTGGGAGAATATCGGCCTGAGGTCTTGACAGTACAGTCCAAGCGCCGATATTCTTCCAGTCCGGTCCCGAGCAAGCTTGGTTAATAAGAGATTTATTATAAGATGGAAGTTCAAAGGGCCACAAGTGTGGTATCATTCGGGACCATTCGGGACAGTGCTCAGTCCAATACTTAGAGAATATTGGACCGGCAATGGAGCACTTTGATTGGTTGATTTTAGTTATTGGCCCTCTGACTGCCCGAGTCGTGTAATAAGAAGCTATTATGTAATACAGGCATTGCATTTGCCTGACCCATCTAAAAGGTTCATAATATTGATTCTCCTGATGGCTTTCTTGAAGGCTTGAAGTTAATCCTTATGCTTGAGCTTGCACCCAATTGGTATTAAACAATTGTCAAATTCTTTCCCTTTTCTGGTACAAGGAGATATTTTCAAGCATTAAGTCTGGTTTACCCAGAGGAGCTGAGAGAAATACAAGCATAGGCATGCAAGCATGTGGACAAAGCTCTTTGTTATAGGCTTTTCATCCTCAAACATCCATTACTTTCTAAATAATCTGGATTGTTATTATGCTCAAAAACTGTAGCCTCTTTAGAGATAATTTATTTTTGTGTCATGTGTCATTTCATGTGGCACAACTGCTAAGAATAAAAGTTTCAACTTGAGCTTGTGCCCAATTGTGCCCTTCTTTTATGTTAAAATAAGAGCTGGTATAGTTGATCTTGTATTTGTGCTGTTATTACTAGAAATCCAGTCTTGAGCAGTTGGGTTAGTCAGTGTGTTGGTGTGAACTTTTAGTCTTCATCCAGTCATGGACTATTTTATAATGATTTCTTGTGTCTAAATTAGTTGTTCTTCTAAGCTTGTTGGCAGCAATATTAATTTCAGCATCATTTGGAAAAGAAGTAATAAGCACCTTGTGTTTTTATGACATTCAACTCTTGAAAGCAGTATTATCTATAAATATTTTGTGAATATTTTAAAGGTGGATCACCTTGAACCATGGGAGAAAGGCAGCAGAAAAACATCTGGACAAGTTGGGATGTGTGGAGGGGTAGGCCTGTAAATACACACTTTGCAAGTTAAGGGTGCAATTAATTTTTGTCTTTGGTAACGTCATTTAAAGCCACTGAGTAGTTTTTATTAGACAAGAAGAAAGTCTGGTGGCACAAAATGATTATCCAAGAAATTTACCCATTTTCCAAGTAGATGTGATTTCACACATAGCCTCACAGGAATTGAAGCTGTAGTTTTTATTGGATCAAAAACCAGACTGTTTCGTGTTTTGGCTACATACTGTACTCAAAAATTAGGTTATATATTTGTTTTGTGCTGTATCACATATTTGTGGTCAGAGTGTCTGCCTGGGCCAAGTTCATCAAGACCTTATATTTTCTGGTATTCACAAGGTTGAGATTTGTTTTCAAAACAAGATGATGTAATATTTTGGCCAAAAAATTGGATGTCGTAGGAAAGGTTTAGAATTGGGAATTTCCATGCAACATCAAACAGTATTCATTTAAGTCTGTTTATTTTAAGTAATTCAACCATAATAGCAATTGTTGTATCCAAAGATTCAAAGTTTTGATTATTTTCTGCATTGCTTCATTGCTCTTTTAGGTTCGAGGAGTTGGTGCTGGTGGGATTGTATCAACCTCATTCTGTCTTCTCTATAAGTTATTCACTTTAAAACTAACTCGCAAACAGCTTAATGGCTTGATAACACATGTTGACTCTCCTTACATCAGAGCATTGGGTTTCATGTTTATCAGGTGGGTACAACAGGTTGGTAAATGTTCAGATAAGGCATCGTACTTACTCTTTGTAGATTATTTTGTTATAATATGATTGGCTATCTTATTTAAGCTGTACCTTACCATTTAGAAAAAAGACAAATTATGACCTGCACAGTCTCTTAGCATTAAAATGTAGCTTGTACCTTGTTTAGGAGCTTTTCTCAGGGAATCTCTCCTTCCCTAGATTATTGTGCAATTTATTTTAATCCCTGAGAGCACAATATTATAGTTATTTCTACAAAACATTCAAGGGAATTACATTGTTGCCAAATATCATTTGGAAAATTTTCTCTGTAAGTTAATCATACACTGCAACCCACAGGTACAGGGACTGGCAGACTGGTTTTTATTTTTCCCTCAGTCGGTATTGTCGTATCAGTTTTTCATCATTTGTATTTCATTACAATATTTTAGATACTGCCAACCTCCTGCAAAGCTATGGGAATGGATGGAACCATACCTAGAGGATGAAGAGGTTTGTAACTGTTACCGGTAACTTAAAAAAATATCTCAAAAGTTATAATTCAATTTAAGTTGCCAAACTGACAGCTAACAAATAACAGCTTAGTAGTTGGCTTCTCCTTTAAGTTATATAAGTTATCAATCATAATAATTTTGTTTGTTTGTTTTTTTCAACTTTCAAAACAAAGTTTTCTTTTATAATTTTGGAAAATTTTATTTCTTTTTAGTGTACCTGAGTGAGCACTTTTCTTTATGTATATTTTTTTTACTTTCTTGCCATTTTGCTTTGTTCTCCTAATCTGTTGATTATGCTTTAGTTAATAATATTTCTATGTTAAGCAAGAGATAGTCCTGTCATTGCACTGTATACAGCATGGTCTGGTACAAACGCAGTTGTGAACCTTTTTGGCCCTGGTGCTGCCTTGTTAATGTTTTGTTAATATGGTATTTGTATGTGTACATTTATAAGGCAGTATCACCATAATGAAAATGTAAAGTTTTCTTAAGTAGTGCAAACAGATTTAGTCATGGGGAATGTCATCCCATTCGTAACATAATACAGCAGATTATAATAAAACTATGTATTTTAGATAAATGTCATCTTGAGAAGTGAATTCATCCATAATTTATTTACGTAACCAACCAGACTGGTTCCTCTCATAATAAAAGGCATGATCATTTTACCTTATCACACATTTTATAGTACACTACTTCATGTCAGACCTTTATCACTTGTCGTTAGCCTTTAACTCATTGTATGGTATACATGTACGTCTCCTATCGTATAATCAAGGAAAATAAGTTTGTTTAGGGGAGGCGAACTTATCAGAGGACAATGATGTCTATACGTAGGTAATCAAGCAGACATTTCATGCATTGTAGCTCCCAAAAAAGCCCCTTTTTGGGGTTGTTATAAACATTTCTTATGTTAAAGTAACATTGTACAACTAAGGTTGGAGTTTTGTTGAATTCAGTGATGAGATTTTTCCCTTAGGATTTTGTTTGTTTAAGTGTAAATTTATCTGTAAACAAAAGCAAACAATCAAATCCAGCAGTTGGAAAATTGACTTTGAAACTCTCAGTTATGTGGTGAGTTTGAACAGAATTTCTCTGCCTGATTTTTTGAGTATTATCACAGTTTACCTGTTGGAAGGAAGTTGTTGACATGTGGTGTTGATGTGTTCGTAGGTTGTTCTGTAATGTACCTCTCTCTTAGGCAGCTCATAACATCTATTGTTTCCATACCAACTGCAGGCCTTCAGATATGGAACTGCTCCGAGCTGCCTGACAAGAGGTTAACATGACACCAGAGTAGCTATGGCCAACCTTGTGCTTTGTTGTTCACAGTGTAGTTCATAGTCATGGCACTTGACTTTGCTGTTCTAACTTTGGAGTCATGCTCACTCCAAATTTTGTTTCAATGAAAAAAAAAGGAAAGAGAAAAAGAAAAAAAAAATAGAGATTGAAAATTAGAAGGAAATGTTTTGTCGCTTTGGAGTGTTAACTAAAGTCATGTCATCTTAGTTCGAAGATAGACTTCCTTTTTCTTTTTTGTTTTTGCTTTGTTGTTGTGCTAGTAAACCTCGTACATAAAGCGTAGGTCACTTGGCAGCAGTTTAAGGGTGAGAATGGCCGTGTCAAGCTCCTTTGATTTGATACCCCTACTGTTGTTTAAACAGCTGTTATCATTCACCACCTCAAACCTTGTTGTAAATCACAGTCAATCATGAATGTTATCTTCTGCGTGTTGTATTTTCCAGGAGATTGACCCTAAAGCTGGCGGAGGCTGCACCATGACTGTTGGACAGATGGTCAGAAGTTTCTTGCTGAAGTTGGAATGGTACGGAACCTTGTTTCCTCGCATTCCTGTTCCCGTTCAAAAGGATATCGAGATAAAACTGCGGGGGAAGGGACTGTGTGATGACCACAAGCGTACTGCGCAAGACGGCTGGGGCGAGGCGGAGGAGTTTGCTAGGCGCGCCCGCGGAGAAAGGTGGGTGAATTTGCGAGAAACAGACATATATATTACGAAAAGCATTGCTTCTTACTGTCATAGAACTACTGCTAAATAGTGATATTACTTGAACAGTACATTGTAGTGTACTAAGGTGGCTGAACACAATTTTCGCGCGCGCTTTTGCTGATGCAATTCAGCGCGCGCACAAGGATTGCAAAAAACAAACATGCCGTCAACAGAGCGGTCATTTCATTTACTCAACACGTACCCGCACTATCTGTGCTATTTTTTCTCTGTAGTTGGCGTAGTGTATAGAGGGATTTAATCTTTTATTACAAAGATATGTTAGAAAAGTTAACGGTGCAAAGAACCCAGCAATTCTCAGCTTTTTCGTCGTTACCGAAACCAGTTAAATGCAGCGCATGCGTAGTAAGTAAAAAAATTGCGATTGAATGGAAAATTGCTTTCTCGGAAATATGCCTATTTCTTGAGAACCACTCATTAGAATTTCACGAAATTTGGCACAAAAATACTTTAGGAAATAAGTAACTGGAGCATTGAAAAAAATTGATTTTAAACAAAGGAAATTCTAGAAAATCGAGTGAACCTTCAACAAGGGATAATCAAAGATCTCTCTGTTAAATTTTTAGGAAAATGGTGTTAACTTGTATCGTTACATGCTCGCTGCATAGAAATTACAAAGAAAATCTAATGACTAGATTTTCTACAAAGAAAGAAAACCGATTTTAATTGCCTATTTATATCTATTGATGTCGCCATGTCAACGGCATATACGTTAGCTTAACTATCGAAGAAACAAAGTTTGTGTTGTTAACTTGCTTGCTGCCAATTTTGGCGACCGAGACATCAAGGGTTTTAGAGAAAATGGTGAAAGAAACAAAGGTATCAAAAACTGTGTTCAGCCACCTTAAACTTGTTATCTTTGCGGTTGCAAAACTGTCCTGTTTTGTGACTATTCTACGAGTTTTTGCAGCGTTAAGAGAACAGGTTCTTGTCCGTGCGTGTGCATGTGTGTGTCTTGGAAATAGAGAGTGAGTTTGATGAATTAGCTTTTCCCTCCAGCAAGGTGTGTTGGATTCATGAATATACTACCAGAAAGTAGACAACTTCCTCTACGCAAGCGTTAACAATCATTCTGCGGGTTACTTTTTATTCTTGTAGCCCCTCAAGGAGTCGACAAGATGAAGAGGAAGATCGTCAACGAAAACCACGTCGAAGCCGAAGCCGAAGTCGCGATCGTGATCGTGATCGTGAGCGGGACAAAAGACGAAGTCGAAGTCGCGATCGTGATCGTCACAGCTCCCGAAGACAAAGTAAGGAACGCCGAAGTCACGAACGAAGACAGGATGAAAGCAGGGATCGTGATAGAAAAAAGAGGCGAAGTCGGAGTCGGAGCCCGAACAGACGAAGTAGAGACGACGACAGAAAAAGAAGAAGTCGTAGTCGGGATAGAAACCGAGAGAAGAGACGAAGTGCTGATCGAGAAGAATCGCGGGGAAAAAGCAGTAAGGAAGAGAAAAGAAGCCGAGAAAGGTCGCGCAGCAGATGAAACATTTTTAACCTGTTGATCAAAATAACTCATATGCTCCAAGCTTGCGCCATATAGTTTCAAATGTACAAACCATGGAATACCTAATGCATGTTTTTATACTTATATAGTGAATGTGAGTAATTTGCTCCAGTGTTGCGCGCATGTTGATCAAACATTTTTTTTTTCTTCGACGAACATCCTATGTCTTGTAGGGCATGGCTATTTTAAAGACATCTCAAAAGGCTTGTAGCTGGCTCTTTACTGCTAGCTTACTTTAAATTAACAGAGCCAAGCAGCAGTCGCATACACTTTTCATGGAAACTTTGATATTTTCAGTGCCTTTTCTGCGTTTCAGTATAAAGGAAACCGACTCTTTACCCTAGTAAGTAATAATGGAAGACTTCTATAGTAGAAAAATATCGTTTTCTTTTAACTACGTGTACTCGTATTACTCTTTAACTTCGTAAACGGCCGTTACATGTCTTCCGTATATATTCTTGGTTGAACTGTGGATGGTTTCCAACCTAGTCAGTTCCAGGAATGTTTTAAAAGCAGTTGCTTCTTCCAATATCAGTTCATTTTCAACTGTAAAGGTGATTAGAAGAAAGATGAGTATATTTTAGCGGGATATTGCTACTAAGGGCTAAAATTCCAAAAAAAATGTTTGGCAGACAGTTTATAGAATCTTATTCTTATCTTGGAAGTGATGGAGGTAGTTACTGTCGTATTAAACTGCGTTGAAATGAAATTAATTCTTCCTTTCATAGCGAACTACCCCTTAACTGTTTTCAGTAGTCCGAATTTTAGACTACTCGCCTGTGGTGGAGTCTAGTGCCTCTTACTTTTGATGTTTTTAGGAACGTTTTTACAGAAACATTATGTCAGTGGTGTCTAATTGTGTGCACGACTTTGTTCAGTAATATCTGATTATGGCGAGATATACTTAATCTGTTATTTGTTCTTGTTTTTCTTTCTATCTTTCTTTTCTTTTTTTTCTTTTTTTTTTTTTTTTTTTTTTTTCAATAAAGGAACAGAATAAACTTTGCAGCCTTCTAACATGATCATAGTGTACCTTAAATTATTGCACTGGACAAAGTTAATACCCTTTTGAATGAAAACCCTGCTATACCAAACCAGGAACATCGGTTTTTCAATGTGAGTTCAGCATAGAGCCTGTAAATGCAGCTTCTTTCATTGCTCTCGGCTTATCAGGCGTTTGTGAACCCCCCTTGGGGGTGAGAGTAATGAGTAACGATGGTGTCCTCTGGCTAACTAAAAATATATGGAAATTACCTATATCATGGTGCCCTTAACTTTAAAGATGTCGCCTCGCGTTGGATCGAAAGAGTTGTTCAGTGATCATGGAATTGGTGAGTAAGGGTACATATGACGTACTGTTCTCTTGGGTGGGGGAGGGGGGGTGGGATGTGGTAAGGAACTGACAATCGTACTAGTCCTTGCTCGGAAAGCTATTGTTTCTTAAGGCTCGGCTCGGTGTCTATTAGATGCACTTGGTAGCGACCTAGGATGAAACTCGGGGCTGCCAGCTAACTTTACACACACAAAGCTTGACCAAGACCAACGTGCAAAAATCCGGAATATCAGCAATATGGCAATATGCTGCGGGCTGGTGGAACCCGTCTTGCAGATAGTGGGGCCAACACCAGGTGTCCGCCTACAGCGTGTCTGGGAGGAAGCGCTTCCCGAGTCGCCGGTAAGAATTTTCTCACTCTTGAAAAGCTGTCGTATCGTAGCCCGTTATGGCTCAAGCAAGATCGAAGTGCCTGGTCTGTTCACATGCCGCAAGCGAAAATTTCACTCTCAGGCCATTTTCCTCGCCGTGACTACCGCGGTATTCGGACGCTATCGTGACATATTCGCAAAAGGGACGTACGGGGATTTCTGCCAGCATTATCCCTAGGCCCCGCTCTGATTTCTTTGCGATTTGGCTGAAGTTTGATCCATCCATGAGTTTTCTACACACAGGAAAAAATGGAGAACATCTTTTTGACTGATTTCTACGAAGGACGATTTTGGGGTCTGTGTCTTCAAACGGATCATTTTTAAAGGCAAGTGCGCCACTAAAGATTTCAGTTTTCATCGGTCATTTAAATAATGTTGAAGCCAGCTGAGTTTAATTCAATCAGATTGTTGTCAGAACATTGTGATGTTGAGTTCGAAGGGTTGGAACCAACTTTTCTACAATTACAATATCTGGA